CTTTGTTACCATTTTTAACTCCACATTAATTAATTTTGCTGCTTAAAATCCTCCACATAAGCTTGGGTGCAACATCTTCAACGAAGAGAATTTTGGATCTTTAATAGCATGCAATTGTTTATCCATACTGTATCTATTGAAATTTCCATCTCTTCCATCTTTTCATATTAACGACTGAGAGTTAAATGGGAAAATCCTATTTTGTTATAAAACTTCCTTCCAAAATAAGTCATTGGATGTTTTATCTTGGCATGAGATGGTAATGACTTAGATTGTATCTAGACTGCATTGAACTTGAAATATTTACCAAATAATGTCATAAATGTTGAATTTTTGAAATGCTCATGTCCATAGTACACAGTGAATGACTCAGACACTAAGAGAAAAGCTGCAGGGTACATGCAGTTTCTAAATGGCTAGGTCATGGAGCTCTTACTTCACCTTAGGAAGTTGGATTTCATCTCCTATATTCTATCTATTCATTGGCCTTACTGTGGAATCTCACAGAAGACAAGAGTAGTGTAATGCTTTTTAGTTTTTAATTCTGTTTTTTTCTTTATAATTTATTTTCTCTATAATACCGCAGTATGTTTGGTTGTTGTTGTGTTGTTTTGTGTTGTTGGCACGCTAGCCTTCTAGAGATAGGAGAAACCATTTTGGCCATAATCAAAGCACACCTCTACGTGGGCATGGAAGAATTCTTTTTTTTTTTTTCAGAGTCAAATCCATGTCTTCAGCTGCATCCTGGCGTACTGGGCTAGACGTTATTTAAAAGTGATGTTTTACTTTCAAGTTCATTAACTTCTTCTCCTTTCCTTGGGGTTGCCCAAGTCTCATCACATCCATAATTGCTATTCCAGAGCCACCTTTACCATGGAAGAAAGGGAAAATGCACAGTCTTTAAAGGATTTTGTGTACGTTTCAATGTGCTTTCTCCTTTAAGATTTATTTTTTATGCATTACAAGTCCTTACAGTTCAATTACCCAAGTTTAGACACAGGAAGCTTGCAGGGCTTCCAGTTTAGTGAATTTGTACACATATTTGAGGTCTTATTCTTTCCAATTGGTTGAGTTTTAATACTTTGCAAAGTTGTTGATTGATCTTTTAAAATATTTGGACTACATAATTTTTATTGAAAATATCTTTCATTGTTAAGCTATGAAAACTTCTCCTTATCCTGACTTTTCTTTCTGTTCAATGTGTCATTGATCATTTTATTTCCTGTCTTTAAATGTACTCCTGACATGTTTTGTAGTCTTGGAAACTTTAAATGTGTTCCAGAGAACTGGCATAATCTTTCACTTATTTATTTATTTATTTATTTATTTATTTATTTATTAAGGTCTAACAGAGATCATCTAGGCACAATCAGTGTGATTACAATTGATAGAAGGATCAAATTCCATAGTTATCTTTTTATTTAACCATTATGAACTTTTGGATTTTTTTAAAAAGTTGAACTAGAGTGTAGTTGTTACGTGATACATATCTCTACTTTTTAATGTTTATCGTTTTTAATTATATAACTAATATGTTTAATGTACTTTGATATCTTAGTTTCCCCTTCCACTTTTCCCCTTCTACCTCCAAGGCCCGCCTCTGCCGTCGTCGTCTCTGTTCTTTCCTTTTCCTTCCCTCCCTCCTCCCTCCTCCCCCCTCCCTCCTCCCCCTCCCTCCTCCCTCCTCCCTCCTCCCTCCTCCCTCCTCCCTCCTCCCTCCTCCCTCCTCCCTCCTCCCCTGTGCCTGCATCCTCGCTTGCTCCTTGCTTCCTTTCCTTCTTTCATGCCAGCTCAGTCATGTCAATGAGAATCTGCTTCACCATGCAGCCAATTTGGCGTCAATTCCTCAGACTCCATATTTTCTTCCTTCTAGCTGTGTCCATCTCTGTTTCTATCTGATTTCAGCCAATTCGTTTTTGTTTTGTTTTGTTTTGTTTTGAAGACAGAGTTTCTCTGTGTAGCCCAGGCTGTCCTTGAACTCACAGAGATCCGCCTGCCTCTGCCTCCCTAGGGTTGGGATTAAAGGTGTGCGCCACCACCCCCAGATCAATTTCAGCTAATTCTAAGGCCTGAATGTAGAGACTTTAAGGAAACCCATTGAGTCATGCTCAGTATAGAAAAATTAGGTTGCTCATCTTTCTTCTTTTAGAGAGGACTTAGACAAGTCTTGTCTGTTAAAATACCTTTGTGTCTCTGCATTTGGTGCAGCCCTTTAACCTTTATAGTATTTGAATTACCTCTCATTGGGCTCTGGGAAAATCTGACCCATTTTTACTGACTCCACTAAAATTGTGGTTACGTACAAAATATCAAAATGAGCCTAGCTTAATTATCTTTTCTATCTTTACTTTTTTTCTTTAGTGATTTATCTGTTCATATTAGGAGATAGTTTGGGTTACATTTCTGGTGAAACACAAGAGAGATTGCATGGGAAATAAAGGTGCTACTGTCAAGGAAAATAACAACTTCACTGTTTTAGAAATGCTGAGGGGAAGGATAGTGTCCCTCTGACTCACTGGAACTGTTACATGCCACTAGGCTCATTGTAAGCGATCCCCTGCTGGAGTCTGTGCTGGACAATGAGCTTCAGAACCCGAGGCGTCTTCTTGCCTTTGTAGAGCGACACAGGGCTCTGAAGCTTCAATGGGAGTCACAGGCCACACAATAGGGTATAGGTAGAGTTACTTTGAGACCATATCTCACTTTCAGGGAAGTAGTGGGAGAGATTGTGTCTTGAGAAGGAGGCATTTTAGAGGTAACCCTTTTAAGATTTCAATTAGTTATTTAGATGTATGACTCATGGGCTTAGATGTATGATTGATTACATGCATGTTGACAGGGTATAAGATCCTGATTAGCTACAGAGAAAGGTATTGTTTTGCTGGGAATGAGGATAATTGTAAGAGAATTTGGGACTGAAAATGTTTCGGGTGTTTTTGATGTTTAGTCACAGAAGTTTAAAGAAACTCTGAACAGTGATGTTATAAACCAGGACAGAGTAAACAACAGTAATATCCTAATTCTTGCACTAAAAAACTCAGCCTATGACAAGGCGTCATAAATACAGATCATCTTCCTAATGCTTCATTTCAGATACTGAGAGAATGTCAAAGGAGTAAGTGAATCAAAATGAAACTGTGTCTTTTATTTGTGTATTTATTATATCTTTATGTATTTACTACTTTCCCAACAGTCTTTTCTAAGATTTTGGAGATGACCTCATTTTGTATTAAAAAAATAGAGCTAGATTATTTATTTAAAAGTAAATTTTTAAAAGAGATTAACAGTTTGAGAATAACTACAAAGGCTGCTGTGAAAAGTTTGAAAGAGTAAAACCCCAAAGATAGTATGTAACTTGCTCATTCTGAAATGCTCAGAAGAAATATCTAGGGTGCCATATGCATGTAACGATTTGTCTCTTGCAAACACCCTTATGTTTACTGTGATTTGTTATACTTTTTTTGGTCATTTTATGCATGTACTGATTTGTAGCCAGAGCTGGTTAGGGTGAAGTAGACTCTAACTGAAATGATTTCACTATGGGAAACAAAGGTGAAATAATTTTATATCAGATAAATGACAACTTCAGTATACTTATTTTACTTAAGTAGCATCGGGTTTTTACAAATAATTCCTACAGGGGTTGGTGTTACGGCTCAATAAGACAGTGCCTGCCTACCATGTACATGGCTCTGAGGTTGTTTCCCAGCAGTCCATGTAGCAGTATGGTGGATGCGGTAACCTGTAACCCCAGACCTCGGGAGACGGGACTGCAGAATCAGAAGGTCAAGGTCACTCTCAATTATAAAGCATTTTGAGGCCATCTTGTGTTGGATTATGTGTGATTCTGCCCCCTGCCAACCCCCCCCCCAATAACTCAGGCAAAGATGATACACTTAAGGCCAACTTAAATATTGAAATACTTAAATATATTTAAGTGGTTAATACTTTAAAGTATTTATTATTTCAATCCTTTTTTTTTCCTATGATTCAAATAAAGGTTTGTGCTATGTGTGCAGTGACCAGGTTATGAAATAAACTTATTTTATTTATTACTTTTTATTGTACTATGCTTTAACACAGGATCTCTAACATGCTAGGCAGATTCTCTGCCACTCTTATTCTTGATGTATAGCGCTGAAGAACTTCTGCTCTAAAATGACTATAAATAAAACTCAATATCTAAAACAAAATCAGGGCGGTGCAGAGCAAGGAGAATATCATGGGAGAGGAGCAAAGGCCACCAGAGGCAGTGGTTCTTAGACAGTGCCTTCCACCCATGCACTCTGTCAGACTGTGTCTTGGTGGGAAGAGATCTTGGGGTTTGAAGACCAAGATTCTAGCCTAACCCTACTGTGATGGCATGGAGTCAGGATGCTGATGCTACTGGTCCCCTCTGATTTTGGTCTTCTGTGACTTTCAGAATTGCAGTGGAGATCCCTCTTCTCCTACCCTATGTTTCGTACTTTAAACACGAGTCCTTGAATGAGTTTGCCATCACCAACATAATGCATGCTGTGCTCAATCTTTTAGACATCTGTCTTACCAACAGTTCCCAAGTGTTTGCTACAAAGTGTGTGGATACTGTTAGTGCTCATCTTCAGCACTCAAATTCTGTAGAAGTCTCCAACTTAAAAAAAAAAAAAAAAAAAGACATCGGACACTAACATCTCTTTTAAGCACATTTTACTGTGTTTGCATAGAGGGGATTTATTTCTTGCCCCTGAAGCTGGCTCTTTTCAAATACATTGTTTTACACGAGCGAAACATTTATTGTTTGATTTTTCTCCTTGACCTTTGATTGCAGCTGTTTCCAAGTGGCTGGCAAAAAGTAAGAGAGTCAAACAAATAAAACAAATAATGTCTCCTGGGTTTAATAATTAATAATCTGATCCACCGGAAGCCCGTGGATGGGCCGTCTTACAATGCCGTGGCGGTGGCATTTTAAACTTTTTAGCCTGTATGAAAATCTCTTGCTCTCTTGTGCCCACACCAGGTGTGCGGAGTGGATAAATGATGTGCACTGCCCTGAGCCCCAAGGTCCGCAGTGGACCTGGCCTGTCTGATATGCATCAGTACAGCCAGTGGCTGGCCAGCAGACATGAAGCAAATTTGCTGCCGATGAAAGAAGACTTGGCCCTGTGGTTAACCAACCTATTAGGTAAGGTCATACGATAGCCCTTTGTGAGCAAAGATAACAGTGTCTTGTGTGTCTCACCTCGTCTCCTAGTGTCCTTCTCCCCAGCATGTGACAACACCTGGGAAAGAAAGGCCGTCTTTATTGGGATTTTTCATGTGGGAAACCAGAAGCCTGTGGAAATTTAAATGAATTTCCCAGTGCCTCTCGCATGTATCCCAGAACCCTGCGCTGGAATGGGGAAATCTGCGGTCAAGTTGCTTATACTGTTTCTGTGCTGGTCTGATTTATTTTTGACTCGTCGGTTTGCAGCTGGCCACTTTGACCTGTGCTGCAGGCTCTAAACTGTCTCTAAAACTGTCTTTCTTGCCCTACTTTTACAGCACACCTTCCAAAACTGCTGAGAGCCTGAGCTCAGGCGGAATGTCTATGCTTTGTCCAAATGGGCCGACTAGCGCAATTTAGCTTTGAACTGAATTCTGTTTTCTTTTTAGTGTGCCTGCCTGGTAATGGTGCCTTTTCTTTTAATGTCTGGGGGATTCTAAGGGTGAAAGAACAACAATGGAGGGCATAGGGTATAGATTTGTTCATTTAAAGGTTGCTACACACTCAGTCGCAGCATCACCGGTAACAGATTTCTCCCGAGAAGAGTGAGTCACATCTTTAGGTAGGCGCTTACAGAGTTCTCAGGGTGTAAGATTTGACTGTTGAATAAGGAGCTCGTGTGGCGCTCTGTGGTTGGCAGTGTGGAGCCACCTACACCGTTTATCACTGACGCAACCCTGCAAGGTTTAGGCTTCACCTTCTAGCTAGGAAGGCAGAGCTTGCACACCTCTGGATGAATTTCTAGCAAAGATTGGGAACCCGTTAGCCTTTCGTAGCGTTTTCTTGGTTGCTCTGGCTTTTATACTTAGTTGCATCTTTTAAAAAGGTATTTGTCTGCGAGAGGTACTTACTTTTTTCTTTATCATAAGCACTGCATTTTGACCAACTGTATAGTTTAGCCAGAATTACCAAATGTGGGTATAGACAGTGTGCCCCTCAGAAAGGTTTTTCAGGGCCCCTCCCCTCGGCAGTGCCCTCTACCCCACCGTGGGGCTATCCGTAACACGAGCAAGAGACTTGCACTTGGTAGTAATTCACTCAAGCCAAGAAGGAACGTTTACCTTCATCGAACTGTAGAAGTAGTTGCTCCCCTTGCTTTTGCCCTCCCAAGGCACACCAATGACTGTGAAGTTAGTCATTTATTAACTCTCAGCCATCTGCTACAGATAAGATTTGTCACTGGAATTGCGATGCAGAAATTCAGAACATGGCTCTAGCAAATCTGTTGATGCTTGCACTCCAGGTGCCTTCTCCTGGCCCTGAACTCTGTGCATTTTGGGAGATATCCATTATATCTGTTTCGCAAGTCGCTGTGAGAGGAAATATTGAAAATATACACGGTACTTAGCATAGTTTCTGGATGATAGTTAATACCATACAAGTTAGTGTTCCATTTATGAAGTTCAGTGAAATTGTTGATTTTTTTTTTTCATGAGACTTGTTAGAGGCTAAATCTTTTACTGCTATGAAGAAGGTAATTAATGAGTTGTAATTGATAGTGTGATCAACAAGGGGCCATAGAGATATCAGGACAGAAGGAAAGGATGAGTGGGTACAGCGTAGCCTGATTTCACGGGCATGACCCAGTGTTGGGTGACTAGGTCATCAAGGGGTTCTGTTTAATCGGTATGATCATTCTCAGAGTGGTTTTATCAGTCTGAGCATTCCAACACTGAACAGAGTCAGTGTGTGTAATGGAAAGATCCTTGGATCAGGAATCAGGAGAGCTGGCTCCTCTCTGGGCATCAGGAGACCTGGCTTCAGCTTCTGGCTGTTCCACTGGTAGGAACCATGCCCGAAGTCAGTCACTCAGATATCTGTTCCAGGTTTGCTGTCCTCAACCGTAAATGAAGGAGTTGGAGGGGATGCTTTGTAATATCCTTTCCAGTTCCCCAAATCTAAGTGTCTAAGAAATCCGAGTCTGGGGATTTGGTTTGGGTCAGTTTAGGCCAAAAATAAGCATAAATAAGTAAAAGAATTATAAATGGATGAATATTCAAAGAATAAGATTATCTTGTTAAATATTTGCTAGCAGTTGTAGCAAATGAAAGTGATGGTTTATGAAGCTTTCCAGACAAAGGATTCCTGCAGGGATAAAAACCATAGTTATTGAATACACCTTTGAGTAGACTGGAGTTCTTCTGAGGTAGACAGAGACTAGACCTCAAGGCAGCATGTTCATGATCATTTGAAAGGTGTCTAAACACTAGAGACTGTTTAAAATGGTAAAAACATCTGGAGATGTTTTGTGTAATAATGAGAGAAGAGCAGATGAATGGCTTTGCTGGAAGATGACTTTCTCACACATAGTAGCTACCCTTAGTGTGCACTCTTAGAAATGCAAATGTAAAATGATTTATTATTGCAGCTGGAGTGCTCAGTGAATTAGCACACTAACGGCCCTTGCAGAGGACCTGGGCTTGGTTCTCAGCACTCACACAATCTGTAACTCCAGTTCCATTGGATATTGTCCTCTCTTGGCCTCTGTGAGCACTGCATATGGGACACATAAACTCACACAAGCACACACATATGCACAGATAAAAATGATAAATCTTTAAAAATTATCTTTTTTGCCAGTTGAGAAATATTCACATATCTCACTCCGTAGTTCTCTCCCCCCTCTCTCTCTATATGTGTGTGTGTGAGTGTGAGTGTGTGTGAGTGTGTCTGTGTGTGTGAGTGTGTGTGAGTGTGTGTGCATGTGTGTGAGTGTGGGTCTGTGTGTCTGTGTGTGTGAGTGTGTCTGTGTGTGAGTGTGTCTCTGTGTGTGAGTGTGAGTGTGTGAGTGTGCCTGTGTGTGAGAGTGTGAGTGTGTGTGAGTGTGTATGTGTGTGTGGGTGTGTCTGCATGTGTGAGTGTGTGAGTGTGTCTGTGTGAGTGTGTGTGCGTGTGTGTGAGTGCGTGTGTGTGAGTGTGTGTGTGTGAGTGTGTGTGTCTGTGTGTGTGTCTGTGTGTATGTGTGTCTGTCTGTCTGTCTGTCTGTCTCTAGCTCTCAGGTTTGGCTTTATGTACTTGGAACCTAGAGCTGTCCTGGTGATGGTCTCCAAGTTGGTCCTGTTTCCATATAAAGCACCAAATTCTTTAGTGAGACAGAAATGTAAAGGTTTTAGATGTTTGCTCTCTTGTGGCCATACATGTATAGAATTTTCCTGACCCCATTTTAGGATACTTGTTTAAAATGTAACTTTCAAAAGAAGCTGTCAAAGGAGAGACATTGATTAAACTTGGATGTTTCTGATCCCATATTAGCTGTCAGTTGGAGATGGATATTTTTTTAAGGGACAATTTATTTTAAGATTTTTTTTTTTTAATTTTTTGAGACAGGGTTTCTCCATGTAGCTTTGTAAACCAGGCTAGCCTCAAACTCACAGAGATCTGCCTACCTCTGCCTTCTGAGTGAATGCTGGGTTAAAGGTGTGTGCCACCGCAGCCTGTCTTAAGATGTTCTGAAGACCAAAATTAGTTTGATGGATAAGAGAATGCTTGTTTTCCTGATTGACCAATATTCACATTCATGTCTCCAATGTGACATGTGATATTGTAATTTTTTTTTCAGGCACTGTAATCTTGCTTAATCAGTAGCAAAAATAAATTGTAGATTTCTAGGTAGAGATAAAGATACAATAGTAAACTGTACTCAGCCTCAGTTTATGAATTAACACTGCGTTTCCTGTGGGATGTATGCTAGTAGAAGTGAGCAGCATGTCTCATGAGAAGGTCACCATGGATTTTTCCCCCACCTTCTCACATGACCTTGGGTATCTTACAGGAAATACTCTCTGTAGCTCTACTGCATTTCCTGATAGTAGTTAGGGCCGTGACTAGTTTTATGATAAACATTTAGAAAAGCCAGAGCTGGGTCCTGAAGACCCTACCGTCTCCAATAAGAATGTGTCCTTGGCTGCACCACACATGGTGGCTCTTGTTACCCTTTACTGACTGGTCTCACCTACATTAAGCACACATGTTCTGTCTGTACTGTATGTAGGCTGTTGATTCTGTCCCTTTTACTCATGAACCATGTATCACTCACCCATTATCTATGTCTCTACATTGTACCATGATACCAAAAGCTTACACCAGCAAATCTTGAGGAGATTTTTAACTATTGCTTTGAGCATTTCTTGAGAGTTAGTAATGAAGAGCCCTGGGTGATAGCAGTCATCCATGATGTAAAATTAAGCAGGTATGACTCTGATTGGTAGCAGACTTCTCAGGATTGGATTGGTCTCATTTTGAGATAAATGTACTAAGAAATGGCTCAACTTACTTGAGTTTTACATATTTTAGGTGATAATTTTTTCTGTTTTATATTAGTTTTGTTCCATGATACTAAGGGAAATTACTAGTACTGTATTTTTAAGAAAGACTTACTTGCTAAAAAAAAGAGTTGCATCAAGACTTATTTGCATCAAAAATGGTTGGCTTTTTTTTTTTTTTATATTACTGGCTTTAAGTCTTCAGGATGAAGACTTACGTATTTATATCTACCTAGGGATTTTGAGTAATTTCAAAGTTACCCCAAAAGCTGTTATGCTGAATTATTTTACTTATATTTAGAAAATGTATTAGTAGTTGATACTATGGCAAGTTCCCCTTCTTTGACTTTTCTGCATGCATGGAAAAGAGAGTTGAGTGATATGTGTTTCAGTTTTTCAGTCATTTCTAAATCTCAGGAAACACCTATGTGTTGAAGCGAATGCTACAGATGCAGCTGCTGTTCAGTAAGCTGGGGACAGGAGACCCTTCCTTCTGCAGAGCAACTTTTCCTTGGGTTCTTGTCTTCCAATATCCTCATGCTCTGGGTGTAAGTCAATCAATAACAAGTCCATCTCACACTCACACTGTTGAAACCATCAAGTCGTTTGAGACACGGTGCTAAGCAAAAAAAAAAAAAAAAAAAAAAAAAAAAAACC